GTATTTAGATAAAGGTAGAGAAGTTTTCATTGCATTAATGGATTTAGAAAAGGCATATGACAGAGAGGATAAGGGAGCAATGTGGCAGGTGTTGCAAGTGTATGGAATGAATTACTAGGAATGCCTTCAAGTCTTGAACATGTACTCATTGGAGTGGAAGAGAGAGAGAGAGAATGATAATATATACCTGGAAAGTACTCGAGGGCCTGGTCCGAAATCTGCACACTGCCATAACAACATAATGGAGTGAGAGAGATGGGAGGAAGTGTAAAATAAACCCAGTGAGGAGCAGGGTGCGGTGGGGACAATAAGGGAACACTGTATCAACATCTAGGGTTCCAGACTATTCAACATCTTACCAGAAGATATCAGAAACACGGCTGGAATAAGTGTATAAGCCTTCAAGAGGAAACTGGACAAGTATCTTCACCAGATGCCAAATCAACCAGGCTGTGATGAATATGTTGGGCAGTGGGCCTCCAGCAGCAACAGCCTGGTTGATCAGGAAAGCACTGGACTAGCCTGGCCTATGGCCGGGCTCCGAGAGTAGTTAAACTGTCGAAACTCTTCAAAGGTAAAGGAAGGTAGTAAGTTACTAAATGCTGTAAAGATATTTTATGAGGATATTGAAGCTCAGGCTAGGGTGTTTAGGAGAGAGGGAGATTACTTAGACAGGTCTTAGACAGGGATGTGTAATGTCACCATGGTTGTTTACCATGTTTATAGATGGGGTTGTAAAAGAAGTAAATGCTAGGGTGTTGGAGAGAGGGGTAGGATTAAATTATGGGGAATCAAATACAGAATGGGAGTCGACACAGTTACTTTTTGCTGATGATACTGTGCTTTTGGGAGCTTCTAAAGAAAAGTTGCAAAAGTTAGTGGACAAGTTTGGGAGGGTGTGGAAAGATAGAAAGTTGAAAGTGAATATAGATAAGAGTAAGGTGATGAGGGTATCAAACGATTTAGATAGAAAAATTTGATATAGTGGAGGGAGTGTGGATGAAGTGAATGTTTTCAGATATTTGGGAGTTGACTTGTCAGCGAATGGGTTTATGAAGGATGAGGTAAACCATAGACTTGATGAAGGAAAATAAGCGAGTGGTGCGTTAAGGTATCTGTGGAGACTAACGTTATCCATGGAGGCAAAGAAGGGAATGTACGACAGTATAGTGGTACCAACACTCTTACATTGGTGTGAAGCACGTGTTGTAAATGCTGCCGTGAGGAGGCGGCTGGAGGCAGTGGGGATGTTGTGTCTAAGGGCAATGTGTGGTGTAGATATTATGCAGGGAATTCGTAGTGTCGAAATTAGGAGAAGGTGTGGAGTTATTAAAAGTACATGTATTAGTCAGAGGGCTGAAGAGGGGCTGTTGAAGTGGTTTGGTCATTTAGGGAGAATGGAACAAAGTAGAATGACTTGGAGAGTGTATAAATCAATTGGAGAAGGAAGGCGGGGTAGGGGTCATCCCTGTATAGGTTGGAGGGAGGAGGTAAAGCAGGTTTTATGGGCGAGGGGCTTGGACTTCCAGCAAGTGTGTGAGAGTATGTTAGTGAATGAAGACAAATGGTTTGTGGGACCTGATGAGCTATTGGAATGTGAGCAGGGTAATATTTTGCGAAGGGATTCAGGGAAGCCCGTTAGCCGGATTTGAGTCCTGGAAATGGGAAGTACAATGCCTGCACTTTAAAGGAGGGGTTTAGGATATTGGCAGTTTAGAGGGACTTCTAAACTGTCGTTTCTGAGGTCTGCAAAGACAGTGATTATGTATGAATGATGGTGAAAGTGTTGAATGATGATGAAAGTTTTTTTTTGTTTCTTTTTGGGTCACCCTACCTCAGTGGGAAATGGCCGACATGTTAAAAATAAAAGAAAGTTGTAGTATAGAGTTAATAATATTGGTGTACAAGGGGTGATAATTTTTTTAATAGATAAGGCAGCTTTTCATTATTATTATTATTATTATTTTATTATCACACTGGCCGATTCCCACCAAGGCAGGGTGGCCCGAAAAAGAAAAACTTTCACCATCATTCACTCCATCACTGTCTTGCCAGACGGGTGCTTTACACTACAGTTTTTAAACTGCAACATTAACACCCCTCCTTCAGAGTGCAGGCACTGTACTTCCCATCTCCAGGACTCAAGTCCGACCTGCCGGTTTCCCTGAATCATTTCGCCCTACATCATATCTTGTATACTTATTTATCCTCTTTTTCTTAAAATATGTATTACCTATAACTAAACCCCTTTCTATACAAAGTTCAATCAAAGGGCTCCCATTATTATTTATACCTGGCACCCCAAACTTAGCTACCACACCCTCTCTAAAAGTTTCTCCTACTTAGCATTCAGATCCCCTACCACAATGACTCTCTCACTTGGTTCAAAGGCTCCTATACATTCACTTAACATCTCCCAAAATCTCTCTCTCTCCTCTACATTCCTCTCTTCTCCAGGTGCATACACGCTTATTATGACCCACTTTTCGCATCCAACCTTTACTTTAATCCACATAATTCTTGAATTTACACATTCATATTCTCTTTTCTCCTTCCATAACTGATCCTTCAACATTACTGCTACCCCTTCCTTTTCTCTAACTCTCTCAGATACTCCAGATTTAATCCCATTTATTTCCCCCCACCGAAACTCCCCTACCCCCTTCAACTTTGTTTCGCTTAGGGCCAGGACATTCAACTTCTTTTCATTCATAACATCAGCAATCATCTGTTTCTTGTCATCCGCACTACATCAACGCACATTCAAGCATCCCAGTTTTATAAAGTTTTTCTTCTTCTCTTTTTTAGTAAATGTCTACAGGAGAAGGGGTTACTAGCCCATTGCTCCCGGCATTTTAGTTGCCTCATACGACACGCATGGCTTACGGAGGAAAGATTCTTTTCCACTTCCCCCATGGACAATAGAAGAAATAAGAACAAGAGCTATTTAGAAAAAGGGGAAAAACCTAGATGTATGTATATATATGTGCATGTGCGTGTCTGTGAAGTGTGACCAAAGTGTAAGTAGTAGTAGCAAGATATCCCTGTTATCTAGCATGTTTATGAGACAGAAAAAGAAACCAGCAATCCTACCATCATGCAAAACAGTTACAGGTTTCTGTTTCACAGTCATCTGGCAGGACGGTAGTACTTCCCTGGGTGGTTGCTGTCTACCAACCTACTATTATTATTATTATTATTATTATTTTTTTTTTTTTTTTTTTTCTTCAATAAGTCGGCCATCTCCCACCGAGGCAGGGTAACCCAAAGAGAAAGAAAATCCCCAAAAAGAAAATACTTTCATCATCTTTCAACACTTTCACTTCACTCACACATAATCACTGTTTTTGCAGAGGTGCCCAGAATACAACAGCTTAGAAGTATATACGTATAAAAATACACAATATATCTCTCCAAACTGCCAATATCCCAAACCCCTCCTTTAGAGTGCAGGCATTGTACTTCCCATTTCCATGACTCAAGTCCGGTTATATAAAATAACCGGTTTCCCTGAATCCCTTCACTAAATATTGCCCTGCTCACACTTCAACAGATCGTCAGGTCTCAAATACCATTTGTCTCCATTCACTCTTATCGAACATGCTCACGCACGCTTGCTGGAAGTCCAAACCCCTCGCCCACAACACCTCCTTTAACCCCTCCCTCCAACCTTCTCGAGGACGACCCCTACCCCGCCTTCCTTCCCCTACAGATTTATACGCTCTCCATGTCATTCTACTTTGATCCATTCTCTCTAAATGACCAAACCACCTCAACAAACCCTCTTCAGCCCTCTGACTAATACTTTTATTAACTCCACACCTTCTCCTAATTTCCACACTCCGAATTTTCTGCATAATATTTACACCACACATTGCTCTTAGACAGGACATCTCCACTGCCTCCAACTGCCTCCTCGCTGCTGCATTCACAACCCAAGTTTCACACCCATACAAGAGTGTTGGTACTACTATACTTTCATACATTCCCTTCTTTGTCTCCATAGATAACTTTTTTGCCTCCACATGTACCTCAATGCACCACTCGCCTTTTTTCCTTCATCAATTCTATGATTAACCTCATCCTTCATAAATCCATCCACTGACACGTCAACTCCCAAATATCTGAAAACATTCACTTCTTCCATACTCCTCCTCCCCAATTTGATATCCAGTTTTTCTTTATCTAAATAATTTGATACTATTATTATTGTTATTATTATTATTATTATTATTATTTTTTTTTTTTTTTTTTTTTCAACAAGTCGGCCGATTCCCACCAAGGCAGGGTGGCCCGAAAAAGAAAAACTTTCACCATCAGTCACTCCATCACTGTCTTGCCAGAAGGGTGCTTTACACTACATTTTTTAAACTGCAACATTAACACCCCTCCTTCAGAGTGCAGGCACTGTACTTCCCATCTCCAGGACTCAAGTCCGGCCTGCCGGTTTCCCTGAACCCCTTCATAAATGTTACTTTGCTCACACTCCAACAGCACGTCAAGTATTAAAAACCATTTGTCTCCATTCACTCCTATCAAACACGCTCACGCATGCCTGCTGGAAGTCCAAGCCCCTCGCACACAAAACCTCCTTTACCCCCTCCCTCCAACCTTTCCTAGGCCGACCCCTACCCCGCCTTCCTTCCACTACAGACTGATACACTCTTGAAGTCACTCTGTTTCGCTCCATTCTCTCTACATGTCCGAACTACCTCAACAACCCTTCCTCAGCCCTCTGGACAACAGTTTTGGTAATCCCGCACCTCCTCCTAACTTCCAAACTACGAATTCTCTGCATTATATTCACACCACACCATTATTTTATTATTATTATTATTATTATTTGTATTAATGAGGCTATAATTGAAAGCTACTTTGTTTTCATCCTAACAGGTTTTGTATTTATATTGAAAACAAAATTGTTAGTGTTTAACCAGTATTTCCACTTTTAGATATTTATACCCTTGTGTACAGTTGAAAATTAAATTTTTTCATTTTAGTTCCCAACTCCAGAAGCAGTAATGAGAATTCCAATCATGAAGAAAATGGTAAACCAGTACAGCACTCTTAAGGGTTTGAAGGGAACTGGACGGAAACTTGTTCATACCATGGATCAAGTCCTGAAGAAACTTTCCTTACAACAGATTGAGGTAATCTAAGTAGCTGTTTCTGTTAAATATATTGAACATTCTTTTAGTATATAAAATCTGTGATATTTTATTTAAAGTTTTAAGTCTTAAATGGTGTGTTCTTTCAGGTTATACCTAATGTTAATCTGCGAGAAGATATATTGAAGCGTAATGAGCGTATGGTAGAGAAGAATATACTAGCTAAAATGACACCAGAGGAGAAGGAGGAATATCTTAAACAAAAGGTATGGTTGCTTCATGGTGGCAGAATAAATTCTGAAAGGTATGAGGATATAGAGTAATGTAGTTTGATACATTAAGGATTAAATTTTTGTAATAAGCCTATAATCATAAATGGTCTCATCAATAACCATAGGGTTTTGGCTTTGCCTAATGCTTTACTTAGATACAGAAACATTGTAGCGACACTTTAGCAGTAGCTTGAATAAGTTACTATGATAATGACTAATATCCTCTCAAGATGCTAGTGAAGGACTCTTAACTCAAGGAATTGGACCTGTCCTCCCCTTCCTCGGATCTAACCTGAATGTCTCTCATTCCCCTAGGCAATATATGGCTCCTATGGGTTTAGTAATTCCCCATGAATGTAATGGTAATATTTGTGTGTGCAAATAACCCTTGCAGCTAATGCTCATCTATTAAATCTAAGCATACCCTTCAAGAACCTCAATAGAGTCTGGGTGCCCTGTGGCCCGGTGGCTAAAGCTCTTGCTTCACATGGTGAGGGGTCCAGGCTTTATTCCTGGCGAAGGTAGAAACATTGGGCGTGTTTCCTTACACCAGTTGTCTGTGTTCACCCATCAGTATAAAACAGGTACCTGGGTGTTAGTCGACTGGTGTGGGTCGCATCCTGGGACAAAACTGATCTAATTTGCCCAAAATGCTCTGCATAACAAGGGGCTTTCTATATAGTAATATATCATTGATGTCAGCTAGTCCTGTATACCTTGTACTTTTTTTTTTTTTTAAACACGTCAGCCGTTTTCCACTGAGGCAGGTTGACCCAAAAAAGAAAGAATAACCCAAAAAGAAAGGAAAAACTTTCATCATTCAACACTTTCACCATCACTCATACATAATCGCTGTCTTTGCAGAGGCACTCAGGTACGACAGTTTAGACATCCCTCCAAACTGTCAATATACTAAACCCCTCCTTTAAAATGCAAGTGCAGGCATTGTACTTCCCATTTCCAGGACTCAAGTCCGGCTAACTAGTTTCCCTGAATCCCTTCACAAAATATTACCCTGCTCACTCTCCAACAGTTCATCAGGTCCCAAAAACCATTTGTCTCCATTTACTACTATCTAACATGCTCACACACGCTTCCTGGAAGTCCAAGCCCCTTGCCAACTAAACCTCCTTTACTCCCTCCCAACGTTTTTGGGGACGACCTCTACCCCGCTTTCTTTTCCCAATAGATTTATACGCTCTCCAAGTCATTCTACCTTGTTCCATTCTCTCTAAATGACCAAACCACCTCAGCAGCCCCTCTTCAGCCCTCTGACTAATTTTTTTTTTTTTTTTTTTTTTTCAACAAGTCGGCCGTCTCCCACCGAGGCAGGGTGACCCAAAAAAGAAAGAAAATCCCCAAAAAGAAAATACTTTCATCATCATTCAACACTTTCACCACACTCGCACATTATCACTGTTTTTGCAGAGGTGCTCAGAATACAACAGTCTAGAAGCATAAACATATAAAGATACACAACATATCCCTCCAAACTGCCAATATCTCTGACTAATACATTTAGTAATTCCACACCACCTCCTAATTTCCACACTTCGAATTCCCTTCAAAATATTTACACCACACACATTACCCTTAGACACGACATCTCCACTGCCTCCAGCCGCTTCCTCGCTGCAGCATTTACAACCCATGCTTAGACCCATATAAGAGTGTTGGTACCACTATACTCTCGTACATTCCCTTTGCATCCATGGATAACTTTCTTTGTCTCCACAGATACCTCAATGCATTACTGTCCTTTTTTCCTTCATCAGTTCTATGGTTTACCTCATCCTTCATTAAGGAGGATTCAACCAGATGGCGACTGTTGAAGTTGGAAGTAGAGAAGACAGTTTTAGCAGAAGACTAGTCAGTAGGATAGCTGTGATCTCTGACATGTCAGAAAAGAGCATTGTTACTGTTGGCAAGCCTAACACTACTTTTGTGCTCCCTAAGTCTGTCAGAAAGAGATTGGCCAGTTTCTCCAAAGTATTGATCATAGTGATCACAGCCATCCTATTAACTGGTCTTCTGCTAAAACTGTCTTCCCTACTTCCACTTTCAACAGTCGCCATCTGGTTGAATCCTCCCTAATACACAACTTTCCTTATATGAATCTTAGTCCTGGCTTTATCTCTCTAGATGCCTTCCTTTCCCACTACATTGTAAAATGCTTCAAACTTCAGAACACTCGTGACTTAACCTGATTCCTCCTTTTTTTTTTCTTCTTCTCCTTCTTTCCCTTTCTTCTTTCCTTTTTTTCCTTTGGGTTGTCTTTCTGATGCCTTGTGTATTTGTTCCTTCTTTATTTATTTATTTACTTTTTCTCCCCTCTGTGTTCTTGCTCTTACCCTCTGTGGGTACCTGCTCCCTTGCAGCAGTGCTCCTCTTTCTTAGTATTTGACTGGCTCCTCCTTACTACCTTCCCCACTGCTACTACCTTCTACCTCTACTGCTACTGCTGCTGCTGCTGCCGCTGCTTGCTGCTGCTACTAACTACTACCACCGCCGCCTGCCTATATATACCCCTCCTTCTCTCCTTTTCATTAGTGTGACTTTGTAAATGGTCCAAGTTGGACAGAAACAGTGTCGTAAGCTCCTCTCTTCTATGTGCGGGTTATTTGTGTATCATTCCAGTCACAGTATTGTGCCTTTTTTTTGTTACACTGACCTAATTTTCCCAAGGGACTTTCTATGTAGTAGTATGTCATTGATGTCAGCCAGGCCTGTATACCATGTACTTGTAGTAAATTAAAGATATTATTATTATTAACTGTAGCTTCAGCTAGATAAGGATCTGATATATCCATTGCCCCTCTATAAACATGTAGAAATAAAGATATTATTCTTCTGCTTACAACAAACTGGCCGTATCCCACCGATGTAGCGTGGCCCCAAAATAAAAATGAAAGTTTCTCTTTTTAAATTTTGTAATTTATACAGGAGAATGGGTTACTAGCCCCTTGCTCATGGCATTTTAGCCGCCTCTTACGACACACATGGCTTGCGGAGAAAGAATTCTGTTCCACTTCCCCAGGGAGATAAGAGGAAATAAACAAAAACAAGAACTAGTAAGAAATACATATATAAGAAAATCCAGAGGGGTGTGTATGTATATATGCTTGTATATGTATGTGTAGTGTGACCTAGGTGTAAGTAAAAGTAGCAAGACACACCTGAAATCTTGCATTGTTTATGAGACAGAGAAAAGACACCAACAATCCTACCATCATGAAAAACAATACAGGCTTCTGTTTTACACTCACTTGGTAGGACGGTAGTACCTTCCTGGGCAGTTGCTGTCTACCAACCTACTACAGTACCTAGAATTATTATTATTAGTAGTAGTAGTTATAGTAGTAGTACTATCAAAATACTGTTTGGCATCATTTATTGAATTAACAAAAACCATCTAGTTAAAGGTCATAGGCCTCTTACCAGGATGTTTTCAAATCTGTTTGACTGTCATCTCCAAATAATTGTTGGGTGAATAATAATTGAGAATCTACCCTACTTGCATGGAATCTATTTACTATTGAGGATTATGTTGATGTTATAAACTGGTAAAAAATTTATGTGAAATACAACATCCATCATTGTTTTCTACAGGCTAAAGAGGAAGCAAAGAAGCGTCTGCAGTCCAAACGTGAACAAAATCGGAAGATGGAAGACAAAATTCTTAGCAACCTGAAACCACTTCCACAACCACAACTTGTCCCTACTCCTGAGGTAGGTAACCAATTATTTTTTTCCTCTCCCCACTAGCTAAGTTATCTATGAAAGACACTTAACTATGTCCTTAATTTTTTATATAATTATTTCCTCTGAAAAAATGATAACAGGTTTCCCTAATATAGCATCAGGTTTCCAGTTTGACTTGAAGGATCACTTGGAAATTATTATTGAATATTACCACCTGCTGGTTTGGCTATCATATGAATGATAGTTCCCATGTACTTGCACTAATATTTTGTTTTAGCTTTTAGCTCATTTTTGTTTTCCCAAGATCATATATAATATCACTATTACTGTATGTCAATAATCAGGTTAATATTTACATTTTATTAGAAATAATAATCAGAACAAAAAAAGATTTGGGCTTGAAAAAGCCATTGAACTAGGTATGCACTGGATAATGGAATGTTTATGGGTTGCTCTTCAGTAAATGGATGGTCAAAATTCATGAATACGGGAGGCTGCAGATTTGCAGAGATGTCTTTAGTTAGTTTTGAGCTTTCCTTCTATTGCATCCTGGCCTGAGGTCAGGCTTCCTTGGCGACTACTTACCAATTGTGTTTAATTGGTAGGTAAGTTTGGGGTGCCAGGTGTAAATGATAATGGGAGCCCTTTGATTGAACTTTGTATAGAAAGGGGTTTAGTTATAAGGTAATACATATTTTAAGAAACAGAGGATAAATAAGTATACAAGATATGATGTAGGGCAAAATGACAGTAGCTTGTTGGATTATGTATTGGTAGATAAAAGACTGTTGAGTAGACTTCAGGATGTACATGTTTATAGAGGGGCCACAGATATATCAGATCACTTTTTAGTTGTAGCTACACTGAGAGTAAAAGATAGATGGGATACAAGGAGAATAGAAGCATCAGGGAAGAGAGAGGTGAAGGTTTATAAACTAAAAGAGGAGGCAGTTAGGGTAAGATATAAACAGCTATTGGAGGATAGATGGGCTAATGAGAGCATAGGCAATGGGGTCGAAGAGGTATGGGGTAGGTTTAAAAATGTAGTGTTAGAGTGTTCAGCAGAAGTTTGTGGTTACAGGAAAGTGAGTGCGGGAGGGAAGAGGAGTGATTGGTGGAATGATGATGTAAAGAGAGTAGTAAGGGAGAAAAAGTTAGCATATGAGAAGTTTTTACAAAGTAGAAGTGATGCAAGGAGGAGAGTAAATGGAGAAAAAGAGAGAGGTTAAGAGAGTGGTGAAGCAGTGTAAAGAGAGAGCAAATGAGAGGGTGGGTGAGATGTTATCAACAAATTTTGTTGAAAATAAGAAAAAGCTTTGGAGTGAGATTAACAAGTTAAGGAAGCCTAGAGAACAAATGGATTTGTCAGTTAAAAATAGGAGAGGAGAGTAATTAAATGGAGAGTTAGAGGTATTGGGAAGATGGAAGGAATATTTTGAGGAATTGTTAAATGTTGATGAAGATAGGGAAGCTGTGATTTTGTGTATAAGGCAAGGAGGAATAACATCTTGCAGGAGTGAGGAAGAGCCAGTTGTGAGTGTGGGGGAAGTTCGTGATGCAGTAGGTAAAATGAAAGAGGGTAAGGCAGCCGGGATTGATGGGATAAAGATAGAAATGTTAAAAGCAGGTGGGGATATAGTTTTGGAGTGGTTGGTGCTATTATTTAATAAATGTATGGAAGAGGGTAAGGTACCTAGGGATTGGCAGAGAGCATGCATAGTTCCTTTGTATAATGGCAAAGGGGACAAAAGAGAGTGCAAAAATTATAGAGGGATAAGTCTGTTGAGTATACCTGGTAAAGTGTATGGTAGAGTTATTATTGAAAGAATTAAGAGTAAGATGGAGAATAGGATAGCAGATGAACAAGGAGGCTTTAGGAAAGGTAGGGGGTGTGTGGACCAGGTGTTTACAGTGAAACATATAAGTGAACAGTATTTAGATGAGGCTAAAGAGGTTTTTGTGGCATTTATGGATTTGGAAAATGCGTATGACAGGGTGGATGGGGGGGCAATGTGGCAGGTGTATGGTGTAGGAGGTAGGTTACTGAAAGCAGTGAAGAGTTTTTATGAGGATAGTGAGGCTCAAGTTAGAGTATGTCGGAAAGAGGGAGATTATTTCCCAGTAAAAGTAGGCCTTAGACAAGGATGTGTGATGTCACCGTGGTTGTTTAATATATTTATAGATGGGGTTGTAAGAGAAGTAAATGCGAGGGTCTTGGCAAGACGCGTGGAGTTAAAAGATAAAGAATCACACAAAGTGGGAGTTGTCACAGTTGCTCTTTGCTGATGACACTGTGCTCTTGGGAGATTCTGAAGAGAAGTTGCAGAGGTTGGTGGATGAATTTGGTGGGTATGCAAAAGAAGAAAATTAATAGTGAATACAGGAAAGAGTAAGGTTATGAGGATAACAAAAAAGATTAGGTGATGAAAGATTGGATATCAGATTGGAGGGAGAGAGTATGGAGGAGGTGAATGTATTCAGATATTTGGGAGTGGACGTGTCAGCAGATGGGTCTATGAAAGATGAGGTGAATCATAGAATTGATGAGGGGAAAAGGGTGAGTGGTGCACTTAGGAGTCTGTGGAGACAAAGAACTTTGTCCTTGGAGGCAAAGAGGGGAATGTATGAGAGTATAGTTTTACCAACGCTCTTATATGGGTGTGAAGCATGGGTGATGAATGTTGCAGCGAAGAGAAGGCTGGAGGCAGTGGAGATGTCATGTCTGAGGGCAATGTGTGGTGTGAATATAATGCAAAGAATTCATAGTTTGGAAGTTAGGAGGAGGTGCGGGATTGCCAAAACAGTTGTCCAGAGGGTTGAGGAAGGGTTGTTGAGGTGGTTTGGACATGTAGAGAGAATGGAGTGATACAGAATGACTTCAAGAGTGTATCAGTCTGTAGTGGAAGGAAGGCGGGGTAGGGGTCGGCCTAGGAAAGGTTGGAGGGAGGGGGTAAAAGAGGTTTTGTGTGCAAGGGGCTTGGACTTCCAGCGGGCATGCGTGAGCGTGTTTGATAGGAGTGAATGGAGACAAATGGTTTTTAATACTTGACGTGCTGTTGGAGTGTGAGCAAAGTAACATTTATGAAGGGGTTCAGGGAAACCGGCAGGCCGGACTTGAGTCCTGGAGATGGGAAGTACAGTGCCTGCACTCTGAAGGAGGGGTGTTAATGTTGCAGTTTAAAAACTGTAGTGTAAAGCACCCTTCTGGCAAGACAGTGATGGAGTGAATAATGGTGAAAGTTTTTCTTTTTCGGGCCACCCTGCCTTGGTGGGAATCGGCCAGTGTGTTAATAAAAATAAAAAATAATTTTATTTCTGATTAAAAACATTTTCAATATTTTTTACTTTTTAGGAGATCCCCAATTCTCTGTTTGGTGATGTGGCCATGGTAGTAGAGTTCATAGAGTGCTACCATGGT